TCCATTTGACTTAAGTACTGAGTGCACACTGTGTGACAGCAGTGACAGAACATGGGCTTTCAGTCCAACATCCCTAAGTTTGAATTACGGCTTCACCACTTGCTGGCTGTGTGACCTTGGACAAGTTACTTCACCTTTCTGAGCCTGTTCTCCAGTCTGAAAATGTGGATAATAGCCCTTCCTTGCAGAATTGCCTTGATAATTATTTATGTAAATAATGTATTGAAAGTGCCTGGCCCAGTGGCTGGGTTATAGTAGCTCAATAAATATTAGTTCATTTTCCCCTTAGGAGGATTCAAACTAAAGATGCCTTTCAGGTGAAGGTCATTATATTGTCATTGCCTTGACACCAGTAACAGAACCCCTTTCCTTTGCAGGGGAGATGAAGAAAGAGTAACATTTACTCTAGGATGTAACTGATGAAGTCAGATTGTACAATAATTCCTGGAGAACAAAGGCCTAGTGCAAATACACCCTACTCTGCCATTCTAAGAGGCACAATGGCATCCTGCAATCTCTGTCAGCCACATGGCAGTTGTGACACGGTTGTCATGGCTTACTTATGCATGAACTTGGTCATAGCTATTAATATTATCACCACTTAATTATGTGTGTTGTTGGTTTTACTCATGTTGTGTTTAATTGCCATTTACAATGTCTTTAAAATTGCACTATGATTCAGCTTTGACATATAAAGTCCCTGGGAATACTGAAAGGTGCAAAGCAGAGAAGCAGAGTATATGTTTGCTATTGGTGAAGTAGGTATTTGCATTCATATTTTCTTGAAAAACGACAAATCCTTTATGAGACCTGCAAAAGGAAGATAACGTCTGGCGGATGAAATTTTGTTACTTAGATGCTTTGTGGAAAAACATGGACATTGATGACTCTGAGTCAGAAAATGATTCACATGAGTCGGACTATTCATGTGAAGAAGTTTTAAGGAATAGCTTAACCAATTTATTTTGCTATATTTTCTTTTTTATGTATTCCAAAGAGGGATAATGGTTTTTAAAACTTATCTAAAGTCAAGAGCTCTTTCAACAAATACAAAATAATAATTTTAAGTGATAAGAAAGCAATGATTCGTCATTTACTTGGTAGTTTTTCCATTCTGGTTGGTACATAAATTAAAGAGTAAAGGTACCTTCCTGAAGAAAGTGATAAGCAACCCTACTGAATTCAGTGGAGTAGACAGGTGACAAGAGAGTGTGCTTGGGAGTCAGAAACCGATGTGTAGAGACGATGCAGGCCCAGCATCTTATATTCAGCATTGAGTCTCAACCATCCTCACAAGGGACTCACCAGATATTCTGGAGCCAGGTATCCTTTTCAGAACCATGACTGGAACAAGAAACCCTTCTCCAAGAAAAAAGAGAGTGGATCCAATGGTGGCCAGCCATGCGGGGGCCCGAAGAAAACCCATTAGACATGATGACAGTCACTTACTGAGTTCCTACCACATACTGCTTCCTTTGCTAGGTGCCTCATGGGTTATCTCTAACCCTTGCAATGGTCGAAGGATTTCCACGGGGGCAGGTACTGCCTTTTGGGAAACATTTTGCCAATATACATCAAAAGATATAAAAAAAAGTTCTTGCCCTTTGACTTAGTAATTCATGCACATGAAATTGTGCATTTTTATTACGATGATAGTAAAAAATGGGATGCAACTTACCGTGTAACTCTAGGAATACGGTTCACTAAATTATGGTACATCTATACTTGTTGAAATATTATGTAGTCTTAAAAATAATAATCACAAAGACTATAGAACAATATGAGAAATGCTAGTGTAGCCAATGAGAAACAATAAAATGTATTCAATAAACATATATAATACATACATGCAGAATATATACATATAAAATGTGTAATTTCAAAGATATAAAAATGTTGATGTGGGCCAGTGCGGCAAGGGAATAATGCAAAAATAAAATTAGTTGTGTTAAGTTAATGTGATCACGGGTGGGTGTGTTTTTGTTTTCCAAAATTTTCTCTTTATAATAAAAAGGCAAAGAAAAGCAGGTTTCCAAAGAAAACAAGTCAGTAGCCTCAGTAACTGTTCAGGTGTATTGAGAATAGAAATTGTTTTCAGAACATACCTAGAATTACCCATTATATATTTGCAGCATTGAGACGTTAGGGAGAATCTGGGTTTCTTTTTCTTCTCTCTCCCTCCCCCACCACTTGGAATTTGTAATTTACTTATTTGCAGAGCAAAAAAAATGTAGTATATTGAGGAAGTATTTGAGAGTTTAAAGCAAATGATGACAATGTAAAAGGTATTTGTCCAAATTTGCATTTGTACAAAACACAGAGCTGCTATAATTTCAGAATAAATGTGTTTTAAATATTTTCTAAATACAGAGCTGTTTCAGCCCTAACAATACTTGGCTAAGAAACTACATTTCTGTGATAAGCCATAATTACTCTTTGGAAAATTATTGGGCTTAAAAAAATGTCTACCTAAAGATGCCTGGAGAACAGGTCCCACTTTGTTTCATCTTGCATCTGCAGTCACTTCTATATGGCTCCTTTTCCTTCTCTGTCAGGGTGTCATTGAATTTATTGTAGGACAAAAGTGCATGGCATTAAGACCTACATATTTTAAATTCTAGAAGATGTTTCTTTTTTAGATAAAAACCTGTGGTTAAGCTATACAAAGGCCTTTTGCTATAGGTATTTATTTTCACTTTTTTTCTGACACTTGTTTGTCTTTTTCTGAATGCTAACTCATTTTTTAAAAGTTAATTTCAGTTCTGAAATTCTAGTTAAAACTCAGGGTCACTGGTCAGTTGCATGATTAAATTGAAGGAGCTGGAAAAGTTGATAAGATTTGGTTAAAAATTATGGATTTGAGTTTTTCTCCCTTCTGTGTGTTAGGCTGTGCTTCTGGACACATAAGCAGGCATTTTTCTGGAATTTTGCACTCTTCCTGCTTCCTTTCATTACATTAGGCAAGGTTCCACTAGATGAGACATTTGCAGTCTTAAGACTTCCTGCCGGGGTTCAGACTTTGTATTTTTGACATTGAAGCTGTCGTGTTCCTGAAGCTACTTAATTAGAAACACATTCATTTCAGTGTATACTGGAAAAAGCTTGGACAGCAGAGCCAGGCACACTGGGAAGTTTGAGCATTTGTGTAGCTGGCAGCTAAACTAATGGTTTACAGTTTAAGGGGAAAAAAAATATAGTAGGGCATTTCCTTGCCCCTAGAAGTGAAGAGAAGCTGAATGTGCACAGCAGATACCTTTTTAAAAAAAAGGATGAAGAAGAAAGAAAAGAAACGACAACTCCACTTTCACTGCAGTTGTGTGTATAGTTCTTTCTGTGGCTATTATCAAATATAAACGTCTTCTAGAAAAATAGTTCCCAAACTGTGCTGCTAATATTCAAGTCTGTTTTACAGGCTTCCAAGATATATCACTGCTGAGATCTGTAGTAAGATCTGTTGTAGTGTCCCTAGACATTTTATATTCTGGGGAAGGATTTTTGCTTGAAGAATTTTATTTGGTGACTGGTAATGAGGGAATTGTGCCTTTTCTTATTTTTAAATGTTTTAGCAACTTTAAAACGTAACTCTGATGTTTAAAAACCTTCATTGTCTATCCGTTGCTTTCAGGATAAAGCCTCAATTCCTTAGTATTCAATAAGAAGCAAAGCTTTCCTGCCTCATTTCTTACCATTCCTTATTTCCCCAACCCTATCCACAAGAGAGCCATCCCTGTCAGTCCACTGCTACTCCCCCAGCTGCCCCAGAGGAAAGGTACCTGGTCACTCCAGTCTGAGCCACGTACCTTTCCGCTAGCCTGTGTCCCTTCCACAGGATGTATCACATACTGGAGAGACATGTGGAAAAGTTGCCAATCACTCCCTTCTCCCTACTCCTACACATTCCCCTCAAGGAAAAAGATTGTGTGGGAGGTGGGGCTAGGGATTTTAGGTTTGGTATCATGAAGTCAGCATGGCACAGGGGAAGGAATGTGTATTTGGAGTCTAATCTCAGGTTTACCACTCACTTAGTTTGGCATTAGACAAATGATTTAACCTCTCTAGGCCTGTTTCCTCCTCTTTAAAGTGGGGATAATAATACCTACCTTGCCAAGTTGTTGAGTGGATTAGAAGAGATGCATTTAAAGTGCCTCGTACAAAGCCTAGCACATTTATCACTGGTAGGTAGCACTATAAATGATAACGTGTGAGCAAGTGTGCATGTGTGGGTGCACATGCACACACACACACACACACACACTCTCACACTCTTCTGAAACCAAAGGAAGAAACAGTCCATCCAAAATGCCCAAAGTTTTAAAAAACTTTGAGGTGGGTTCTCATCTGCTGCTTAGGCACTAACTTACAATCCATTGCCCAGTGAATGAAGTGGTTGGAAGAGGCTTTATGAATGACAGTATCATTGGATGGCATGTGTGCAGTTGGGGAGGAGATGCTTGTGGCAGCTCTCAAGTACTTTATCCAGTCAAAATGGACAGTTAGATCACATCTCTTGATGGCAGAAGGAAACAGCAAATAAAAAATCATTGTTTGAGACATGTTATGCTCTCGCTTTGACCCTGTTTGGTTTCTGTTGTAATCATGGCAATGATAGTTCCCATTTGTACCAGGAACTGTACTAGCCACTTGATGTATATTTTCTCTTATTCTGATAGCAACCTTTCCAGTTAGATTCCAATATCCCATTTTAAAGATAAAGCAACTGAGGCTCTGCAGTCACATACATAGCTGCTATAGAACCTGACACCGAGGTTGGTGCATTTCTTGTCACCCCAAGCTGCTTCCAATGCTGCCCACGTTTTGAAATTCTTCTGAAGTTTCTAAGACTTGGGAACAAAATGTCAGATTAGGATTTTTGTTGTGAAAGGAAATGTAACTGTGCATACGTTTATTAAAGCAGTTTTTCTCCAAACAGTGAACCATCTGTAATTTTGTGTTGGAAGCCACAGACATTAAAGCAGCTGTGTGTCTGTTTCTCTTCACAGTGCTCCTATGCCCTACCTCATAGGAATCCATTTAAGTTTAATGGAGGTAAGTTGGCTTCTTCCCTCCCCATATCTCTCTCCTTGGGATTTTGTTTTGCTACATGGCAGTGAGAAAGACACAATATGGAGTCACTGCCCTTCATGTGGGAGCACCGGGAAGCAAAACCTCAGGTTTATTCCTGTCCCAGGTGCACAGAGCTGGGCATTCAACACAGACTCTTTCCACTGGGCTGTTGTTTTCAGTGATTTTCTGTTTTGCTTGGAGATTGTCGATTTTCACGGGTGAGGGAGTAAGGGTAGAGGAGGCAGGAGGGAAGGGTTCTTCAGGGGTTTGACTGAGGTAAGAGAAATGATTCACTTTGTAAAATGATGTTTATTCTAAATCACTGTAAAAATACTACTTTTTTAACTGTAGAAAATGTGACATAAAAAAGTATATAGAAGTATAAAGAAGAAAATCAAAACTATCCAAATACTACTATTCCAGATTCAACCACTGTTAACATTTTTCTGTTCTTCCTCCTAGTCTTTATTCTATGAATATGTGGTTTTGTATAAATGCACGTAACTGTTAATGTTATAAATATGTCTGTATAATACATTTTTTTGTATATGTAGTACATTTTTATGTCTTTATTTCACTTAACATATGGCAGAGGGGCTTCTATGTGTTTTTACCCATTCTCAGTAATAATTTTTAATTTGCTACCTATAATTCCTTTTTTTTTCGGATATACCACAACTTAACCATTTTCCTGTTGTTGAACAATTCGTCATTTATAATTTTTCACTATTGTAACATTGCGGTGAGCATCTTTATGCATAAAGCTTTATATGCATTTTGACTCATTTCCTCAGCATAGAACCCCTAAAGTTGAAGTGCTTGGTCAAAGCTGTGACTCTAATGCCAGATTGCTTTCTGCATGACTGTACCAATTAGATAGCAATTCTTTTAAAGGACTAATCTGTGATTTTGTAAGTGCCATTACTTTGCACCAAGTTAGACATGAACCCTAAGCCTTTCCCTGCTCAGGAGAGAGCTTAAATTTGTACTAGAGCAGAGTGGGGAGGGGGAGAGGGAGCCTGTTTTGCAGAGGAGATAAGCTCTCAGAGGGAAAATCTAAAACCATGCCTGTCTGTGATGATGCTTTGCATGTCTTAAAGGAAGTGCTACTTCTCTTCTTCTGTTCCCTTCATTTCACGTCGACGAGGACCACCTGCTTCTTCACTATCTGTTGCACACTGTGCTATTGTGCTTACGAAAATGAAACAAGTTGGTTATCGAAAAACCTGTTTGTTTGACATTGAGAATCTTGATCAAAATAGACCACAGAAATCTGCTCAAATTTCTAATTTGACAGGACGGCCATGTGGCTCCTACATTCTGTTAACAGTTCCTCCCTGTCATCACCCAGCCCTAAGCACATACAGTACACAGTTTATGGACTATCTTGGATGATGCATTTAGATCAGATTGAAGAGATTTCTTCTGTGTTTTACCTTTGTTTGTCAAGTTTGGGGTTGTATTCAATGCTACTGTATGAAAAATTAAAATTATAAGTGAATAAATGCCAATTATTGCAGAGTTTGCTCTGTCTTGCCTTTCCTCCTGCCTTCCAGACTGCTCCAGTGCAGGCTTCCTCAAGCTCTTTTTTTGTGTCCCTGTACCTTGGGTATTCTCTAAGCTTTCAGTCTTGGCTTTCTTTTCTTCTCTGCACACCCTCTAGTCATCTTGTTTAAGGCTTTTGTTTCAGCTACCAAGTCAGTGTCAATAACTCTCAGCTGTGCTTCTAACATTGGTCTGCCTCTCTCAGAACTTCAGGTCCAAATTTTCAAGTGCCGATTGAATTTCACTTAGATGTACTACAGATGACTCAAACTGAGTCTTTCCCAAACAATGTATTATCAACAAACACACACACACACACACACACACATTGAGCCATCAGATCACCCCCACCCCCCCACCCCAGTGTTTCCAGTCCCTGTGAATGGCACCACTGCCTGCGAAGGTACCAAAGTGGGACACACTGAGCACAACTGAGTGGTCCCCTTCTTCACTCTTTCTCTCTAAATAGTCACCAAGTCTCTGAAATGTCTCTCACCATGTTCCATCCTGACTGCCTTCATTGACACTTTTCTTGGCTCTCTTGGATTCTTATAAAGCTTTATTCACTCATTTGATAAGCAAAATGAGGGCCTCTTATGTTCCAAGCATTTTGCTAAGTTCGGCAGGTAAGCAGACAATTATGAAATTCAGTCCGTAGTCCCTGCATTTAGTGGGGCACCTTTTTCACCTGGTCACTCTACCTTTAGTGGCCTGCCTTCCAACCCCCCTTTGCATGGCTCCCGAATTCTGCACAGTCTCTCTGTGGCTATCAAGCCTCTTCCCTATCACTGTCCCTTTTTAACCAGTGCTCTCCTTGTCCCTAAACATATCCACATTCCTCCACTCTGCATGGATAAGCCCTGCCCTTCTCCTTCTCTTCCAAGAAGTCTCCTGTTTTGTGTTCTTCTTTCACTGACTGTACTGCTTGCCCTGGATGAGAACTATTTGCTCCCCTGTCCCTTTCCTTCATCTGTTGGAGCATGAGCTGTTTGGGAACAAGAACTATGCTTCATTCACTGTGGTGCCCTCAGCACCCAGCAGGATGCCAAGCAAACAGTATCATCTGAGTGAATGATATCTGAAAAGAGAGTTGAGTGAGTATTTGGAATGCATTAAGGGGCAGTCTAGTAGACAACCTGTTTTCAGAACCCAGTGTTAAAATTTTACTTAAAGGTGGGGGCAGTAAATTTTTTACTTCTTTCTGTATGATTCTAAGGAGCCCTGGTGGTACAACTGGTTAAGCACTCAGCTACTAACCGAAAGGTTGGTGGTTTGGACCCATCCAGCCACTCCATGGGAGGAAGACCTGACGTGTGCTTCCATAGAGATTACAGCCAAGAAAACCTTATAGGGCAGTTTTGCTCTGTCACATGGGGTTGCTATGAGTTGAAAGTGACTCGACGTCACCTAACAACAGCAACAATATGATTCTAAGTAATTTAAAACAAAGCCTTTTGTAGTAAAACATGCAATGCAAAATATGCGTGAATTTTGAAGCTAAAACTTGAGACAGATTTTGCCCTTAGGTGAATAAGTGTATGTCCACTCATCTCAGCCTTTGGAGGGCCTTAAGTGAGAAGGTTTGGGAAGCGTTTGCCAAGACAAATCTTAGCCCTGTTGATTGACTGGGGTTGGAGAGAGGTTTGCCATGCTAAACTCCTATGTGGTGAGCACTAAAAAGAACAAAAATAGTAGCCACCTCCATCTTGGAGCCAGCTAAGACACTTTCTAAACAAAGGCATTTCCTGGGTGTTTTGGGCAGCAGAGAACTACCAAATCTTGGAATTCAAGTCTCTTAATCTTCTCCCATGGATTTCAGCTCAGACTCAGAGTGCCCTGGTCGTGCTTTCTGCTTGGGTTTACCTAATTCTATTATACCCTTCAGGTGAAAGAGAGATTTCCCCTAGGACCCATGAGCTATAGTGTTTGGCAAGGAGCTCATACCCAGGGCCAAAGGAAAGATCTCAGGAAAGCCCATCTCCTCTCACACACTAGTTTTCTTACTGGCAATTCAGCAAAAGGCTTATTTTTTACTGTCTTGTTATTTCTTCTTGAAAGCTATAGGCACCTTATTATGCCTTTGCATATGTGCCAGAATTTTTTAAACTTCAAATGAATGTGGCAGATGTTCATAAAAGTTTAGAAAAAGCTACCATAGGAAGACTTTTTAACCATTTTTATGACACATTTGTTACACAAAAGGAAATAGAAATTATAGCCTACTGTTCTCATTTGAAAAAAGGTTATTTGGGGGAAAGACCTAATTTCTAGTCTTCATGTTCCTACAGGATGTTGTTGCTATTTGTTAATTGGTAACCTAGTCACCTTAAAGAGTTCACATTTTTCCTAAAATGACAAATTTATGGCTGACTGTCATTTTTCTCTCTCCTTCTGCGTTTTTAAATTCTTTTTCATTTAAACAAACATTAATTTGAGGCTGGTAGTAAGTTAGCAGAATGGACAAGGGTATTGGCATAGACCTAGTTTCTTCTTGGAGAGAGTGTCATGTTTGCTGGCAGCTAAGAAATCCTACAACATGGCCAGATCACACAGCGATTGTTGCCTTTTATTCAAGCCATCTCAATTTAGTTCAGGATACGTTTATGCGGCCTCTCTTACGTGCCATGTCTGGGAACGGGTACCAGGTCAGGATGGTGCTTCTCCTATTTGATAAATGAAGAACTTCCTCTCTGCACCTCACAAGCAAAGCTTTGTGTGTGTACACACCTCAGAGTAACACAAGGCATGTATCCAGAAGGTATTTTGTATCATTCCTGGTGGCAGAATGGTCAGGAAGGAGGGAGCGAGGGTGATGGCAATGACACAGTTCTAGAGTGAGACTCACATTATCTTGTAAATAAAGCTGTACCTATACACAGAGGCAGTGAAGTATAGAGATTAGAGTGTCCACTCTGGATTCCGGCTCCCCAGCTTCCTACTTACGTGATCTCGGGCAAGTTAATCGACCTTTGAGCCTTCATCTTCTCACCTGTAAAATGAAGGTAATGGCCGTATCCATATCTCCCTTATAGGCTTGTTGGGAGGATCCAGTGAGATAGTGCATATCAAATGCCTAGCTAGTGCCTGGCACATAAAGAGCTAAACAGATGCCAACAGTCATTGCTGTTTTTATTTCTTCAATGGCCTTAAAGCTATTTACATTGTTAAGTTGATGGCTTTGAAATTGTTTTAGGAACCCTTATGTTCCAAGAATCATCATCCTCGTTCCCTAGGGAAAGAGGATTTCAACAAAATTGGGTTGTGCTTGCCCCATTTTCTTTGGATTTGCAGTGCCAGAGGCATTGTCTCAGGCTTGAGAATGGCCCTTCTGTAGAATATGATAAATGCATTTTCAAACCTCTGCTTTACCACTTCCCTGCTGTCTTAACTTCAGGCAAGATACTTTGTCCATCTTACTTTCTTTGTCTGTAAGAGTG